GAACAAGAAATATATGCATATACTAACCACACTGTGTATACATATCTATAGATATTTCTATATTTAGCCAGCTGTATCTATATTAAACAAGAGTCAGTTCATACTGAGGTCTCCAACCCTACTCTATGGGTACCACATGAATATTTTAGCCTCCCTTCCTTGGCTTGTCTGTAACCTCCCACCCCAACAGTGAGAAACCTGGCTCCCACCATTTCCCAGGATCAGCTTTTCATTTTGTATCAATATCCCACATAACTTTATTTTTTTTTGAAATTTTAAAGTAAATTAAATATCTAGACAAAAAAGTCAAGCTATTTGAAGTGTTGATTATGCTTTTTCATATTAATTAGTTTCTTCTGTGTTCAGATACCCCCCTGAAGGGTCAAAGTCCCAGCACCATCTTTACGATCATTAGCATCATCACCAGTATCAACAAATGGTTATTGGGCCCTCTTATAGGACCCCCCTAAGCTGGTTTATGTGGACAGCCTCCAGGGAAACTTTGATGTGTTGCCCCTTCACTAACATATAACAGATTTATATGATGGCCATACATGTGTATATCTATATTTGGTTTTTTTTTGTGGTTCATACCTTTTAGAATTGAGAATAATGTTTTATTGGAATTATTTTACATAACACACTTTCTAGCACTCCAGATAAATGAATACTTTTCAACTTCCAATTTTGTGGCTATTAGCATTAGCAAGAAGGAAAGAAAATTATGTGATGTGTCTGTTGCACAGTAGGTGCTCAATTAATGCTTACTATCTCCATTTGGATGTCTAATATTCATCTCAAACTCAACATGTGCAAAACTGAATTACTAACCTTTTCCTATAAAGTTTTTCCCACTCATAGTTTTCCCCATCTCAGTTGATGGCAAGTCCATCATTCTAGAACATAAACTGCAGTGCTATCCTTGATTCCTGTTTCTGTCACACTGTATGTCCAGTCTATCAGGAAACTCTGTTGACTCTCCCATCAAAATATAAGACAGCTTCTTGTCTCTACTGTTAACTCTGTGATCTGAGTCCCTATTCTCTCTGCCTATATTACTCAGTAAGCCTCTAACTGGTGTCTCTGTGTCTACTTTTGGCCCCTTGTAGTCTTGGCAGCAAGAATAACCTAGAAAAATATGTCAGATCCTGTTTGTCTGCTCAAAAGCCTACAGTGGCTCTCCATTTTCTTAGAGTGGGAGCCAAAATATTTACACTAGCCTTCAAAATTCTGTGGGTTCTGCCCTCCTGTCCCATCCCATTACCTCCCTCTCTAACCTCATTTCCTACTACTCTTCCTCTCAAGCTCTCTACTTAACCACATTGGCCTCAAACACTCAGGTATGATCCTGTCATAGGGCCTGTGCACCAGCTGTTCTGATTGGAATGCTCTTCTCTGACATCTGGGTGCTTAACTCCTTCACCTCCTTCAAGTGTTTACTCAAAAATCAGTTTCTCAGTGGAGCCTACTGTGACCGTGCTGTTAAATATTACAGCCTAACCTCTGCCCCCACCACTCCCAGTCCCTCTTACCCTGCTTAGCTTTACTTTTTTTCCCTCATGTTTCTCATATTTTAACATAGAATATTATTTGTTCAGTTATCCTTATTGTGTGTCTCCCCTAGCTAGAATTTGAGTGGCACAAAGGCAGGGGTCTTTGTTTAGTTTTGTTCACTGATGCATCCCAGGTGCTTAGAAGAAACAAGATGTATGCATTGAATGAATAAATGCATTGTTTGAACTGTGTGCTTCCTGTACCCTCAAATTATTCTTAAATCTTAAAAAAAATCAACAAAATAAAGGAAAACTTAATTTGATGAAAAGATGTCAGGTAGATACATGGACGAAAGGTGTCCATACTCTAAAATAAGTTACTAAAAGCACTGAGCTTTAAATTCCTCATTTTTTTTTTTTTTTTTTTGAGACAGAGTCTCACTGTGTTGCCCAGGCTAGAGTGCCGTGGCGTCATCCTCGCTCACAGCAACCTCAAACTCCTGGGCTCAAGCGATCCTCCTGCCTCAGCCTCCCGAGTAGCTGGGACTACAGGCATGCACCACCATGCCCGGCTAGTTTTTTCTATATATTTTTTTTTAGTTGTCCAATTAATTTCTTTCTATTTTTAGTAGAGACGGGGTCTCGTTCTTGCTCAGGCTGGTTTCGAACTCCTGAGCTCAAACAATCCGCCTGCCTCGGCCTCCCAGAGAGCTAGGATTACAGGTGTGAGCCACTGCGCCTGGCCTAAATTCCTCATTTTTTAATGAGTATAATTATGTTAAAAAATTGTTGTGATTTTTAAATGAAATGATGTACATGAAAAGCCATCAATAACCATGAACTTCTCAGCTGTTAGCCTGTATGAAATAAGGCCTTAAAAGAAAGGTACAAGTTGTTACAAGCCCTTAGAAGTCACTTATCCACTTCCTCTATGAGGTTCTTCTGAAGACCTTTTTCTCTTAAGTTTGAAATGGCGAACAAACATTGAGAATAGGAAAAGAGCTCTGTAAATATGTTTAGAATGTTTAATAAAAATTATATTGTACCAAGTTTTAATAGGAACACTGAGATCACAGTCACTGAAGATGATTTGTAAACTTAGAATGGACAGACTTGAAAATTGTATTTATATTGGGCTGTTAAACATCTGCTTTTCTTAAGAACTGAATTCTGGCTCTCCTAGTGATTTAAAAAAATGTCGTCAAGTGCAGAACGGTTGTTTTGTAAATTTGCATGGCTGAACATTCAGCACAGATGCAAGTTTTCATTCCCGCCACTGTTTTTTCAAAGGTACTAGTAACTTCTGTAAAAAAAAGGAAAAAAGTTTGTGGGTTCCGTGATGTATCCACTTAGTCCCTGGTACTATTTCTTTTCTCTGAAATACTAGGAACTGGCTTAAAAGGCAAACATTATTGGCATGGTAAGTATCCCAGGAGGCCAAGCATTGTAGGGAGTGCCATCTAGCAAGGTGGGGCCTCCGGAAGCTGACAGTACACCAAAAATGAACATATGATGGAATGGTCTTAAGTTTGCCTCTGGAGAATCAGCCTGTGAAGGTCGATGATGATCTTTAACATTACCTTCATGATTACTATGACTTTTCCTTTTACTCTTTACTTCCCCTCCACTTCTATTCCTGGTTTTAAACCTGGAATAAGAAAAGGAGAGGTTTTTTTTAATCAGTTGCAATGAAAATAAAGTTAACACAGGTTAAACTTCAGTTCATGTAAGAAGGGTAACTAAATTTCATCCAAGGTAGAGTGGAAGTATTGGATTTGAAATATCTGCATTACTCTTGGAATGTTTATATTACTCTTACCATACTTGAATCTTTATGAACAGCACAAGACAGTCCTGTGTATCATATATCTGGGTCCTGTACAATGTTTGCTTCTCTGTAAGGCCACTTGATTTATTTGGATCAGAAAGACTTAAGTGTTTTTATTGATAATGTATTATATAATTGCAAATTAGTTGTTTGTATTTCAATTTTTAAAAATTCAATGAACAGTGGTCAAAATATTAAAACCAAGCAAATATCCAGTAAAATTCTTATCTCTAGAAGCAGATTACAGTATCTAATATCATACCCTTATGTTAGATGGCTGAGACACGTTATTTACTTTTAGGTCTTTTCCAGTCCTTTATTTTTAATTTTTGTCATGTTTTTGTCACAGTTTGCGCGATTGTTTGCCTTATCTTGGAACCAAAGAATCTGGGGAAAGGTTCAAATCTTTTTACTGTGGGTTTTCCCAAACCTGAAGTTTCCTGGATATGAGTAATACAAAAATAAGCTGAAATCTGGCCTACTCATTAATACAAAACCATATATTTATGCAGTGTATCTATGTATACATCTTATATGTGTAGATACAAATGTGTAAAAATTTATATGGTTTTCTATATGTTTTTCATTCAATTGATAATATATGTAATTGTAATGTAAAAAATAAATGATGTTTTTTCTTTTAAAGTGAGTAAACTCTTGATCTCCTCCCTCCCCACGCTAGAGGTCAGTAAGTATCATCAGTGCTACCGTGTGAAGTAGTGTTTTGAACATGTAAATAGTGTGGCATCCCATTAGTCTCTGTTACTTAGAATATTATTTCCAGGTCCAGCTATTTGGAAGTCAGCTATTTTTTCATGATAAATAGTTGAATTGAAATAAAAAGGCACAGTCCTTTCCCCTCCCTTAAGAAAGAGATTGCCAAAAATGAATATGTTCTGTATTACTTATTCCTCATCATCTATTAGTGTTTGGAGATTGCTAATCATATGTAGTATAATGTTGCAATATAATTTTTGGCATTATATATCATTAATTATTTTCTATGCAATAAACCATTCTTTTTATGCCTTAAAACAACTTTAGCCACTAAAGAAAATTGTTATACTTTAGGGAATTAATTCTGTTTCTGTGAGTAAAATATTAACAACCCTCCGTCTTCTTTATCACAAGATTACACTAGGTTACCTTTCTAGCACTGCTTCACTGAAAACCTGATAAAAGTAAAAATGACCCCTGATTAGTGACCTGTCTGGAGACTGGGAGGAGTGTGGATGGATCATAAATACCCACTGGAAGCCATAGCTTTGGGCTTCCCTAAGTATAGTGTACTTTTTATTACTGGGTGTGTCTCTGCTTGCAGGGGACCCCTGGATATATGTTCATGGGATGTTTCAAGTCTGAACCAGTGTGGTTCCTGTACCATGTGTGTGGTCTTGCTGCTTAACACCTGACCTGTCTCTTGTAGGGGCTGGAGAATGGTCCCTGGCCTCCTGCTGAAGAGACGTGCTTGGTGCTGTCCTGATAACGTGCTGTGTTCCTGGCCTGCATCCTTCTGCAGAGCTAGTTTGTGTCACAGTTTGGCCTATTGAGTCTTGTTAATTTGATTATCCTGCTGAACCCAAGACCACTGCTGCTCGTTGAGCAGAATAGGCCTTGTACTATCACAAATACTTAATATGAAAAGTATAATAACAAGTAATTCTCCCTTTGTTTTTCAGAAATGTGTTACAGACGAGTGTTTCTTTTTTGAACGACTGGAATCTAATAACTACAATACTTACCGGTCAAGGAAATACTCCAGTTGGTATGTGGCACTGAAACGAACTGGGCAGTATAAACTTGGATCCAAAACAGGACCTGGGCAGAAAGCTATACTTTTTCTTCCAATGTCTGCTAAGAGCTGATTTTAATGGTAGCATCTAATCTAATTTTGCGTGAAAGAAGTAGTATATTTTAGAAATTTGTTAATCAGAGAAAAAGAAAATAAATGTGTACAGCTCTGTTTGGACAACTCGTCAGACAACATTTTATCCAACAGTAAATATTTAACCATTGTCTCAGTAAAGAAAAATAACAAAAATTCATGGAAAATGTGTAGACTTCCCTCCCCCTTTTATATAGCACCTGCTGTTATCCAGTGAAGCTTACCTAGAGCTGCAGTCTTTTTCATACATTTGCTTTATTTGAAAAGAGGCTTTTAAAATGTGCACATTTACAAACAAATTTTATTCATGGAAATCATATACATTAGAAAATTAGAGTCAGATATTTAGTTAATCAATCCCAAATGTTCACTACTTTTTATAATATGGCATACGTTAATCTACATGTACAATTTACTTAAAAAATTTTTTAAACATGTAAATGTGAATTTAATCCATTCCTGGCATAGTTTTGTAATTCTCTGGCAGTTCCTTGTGATACAACTTATAGACCAGGCCTGTGTAAACTGCTGGAAGTTCTTCCATGGTCAGATCAATCTTGTCAAACCCTTCTCTGTACCCATATAGCAACAGTCTAGCAACTCTGCTGGTGATGGGAGTAGTATTTTCAGCCTTGACCAGGTCATTGAGATCCATCCACTCACATCTTAAGCATTCATGCTGGCAGAAATTTATGGTGAATGAATATGGCTTTAGGCGGCAGACGATATACATATCTGACTTCCCAAAAGCTCCGGGATTTGTGTGCTGTTGCCGAATACTCAGGAGGGACCTGAATTCTGATTTTATACCAGTCTCTTCAAAAACTTCTCGAACTGCTGTGTCTCCTACATAAAAGAGAGAGGTACAAATCGATAAGGATCACACTTTTAGAAACTTTATCATCAAAGATTTGCAGTGAAAATAGCATTACATTCAAGGTTTAAAAGCAGAACATTACCCCAAGAAAGTAAAGTTTTCAATACAAACTCTTTGCCTTCTGGACATCCTGAAATACCAAAATATTTTCTTACCACTGTATGTTTAAGAAGCTTTTGGAATAGTGAATATTTTTTTAGCTGCTACTTGGAGGTTTATCCACCTTTACATTTTTGAGGTCACTTCTTCTTAACTTCTCCCTGCTCTATTTAGCAAAAGGTAAAAACATATGTTGCAAAGCTGCGGTTAATATTCTAAAATATTTCTTCATTATTTTCCTATTCCTGATCACCCATCAAAACTGCCGCCTCTTCCTTATAAAAGTCTGTTGAGCTGCAGAATGTATGAAATGATTCTAATGAAATGATTCTAATCTCTCCTGGTGGTCTTGGGTGGGACTCTCAAGCCTCCAGGTCAGCACAGATTCCTTTATAACGATTTTGTTATGGTTATGCCGTCCGTAAAACCCCACCAGAGTAATTTTTGACATTTCCTTTGTTTCTTGAGATAAGATTCCACAGAACTTGGATTCATTGTTTCAACATTAAATGCTGTGGTTGTTTAATAGGAAGTTTTCAAAAAACTTGCAATGTATAGAATTTTATAATACAACAAAGGTTTTCACATTATAAGGGTGATTTTTTAATTAAATGAAATTTCTGTGGCAGGATTTTTATTGCCATTAAGATATTTTTGTGGCTTTTTCTAAACATCTAGATGGACCCCCTAAATGGACTTCCCTAATTTTGTGATGCTCTGTCATTGTCTCCCAAAGCATTTATGAGAAGCCCTTTAGAAAGCTGCCTTTCTTGACCCCTTTGCTGGGAGCTGCACTGCTGTCACAAAGATTTCTGTTCAAATACCCTTTAATGCCTCCATTGTTCTTGTTTGTTAAATAGTAAATGATATTTGCCTTCTCAGTAATCCTACTGGTGAAAAATAGGCAAAGAAGAGGAAGTCACAGAATGTGTCTCAATTCCTGTGTGCTCTGACTGTAGACTGTCTTACCAATCCCCTGGACAGGCTCTTGTTTTTTGTCTAAGAAACAGCTATGGAAAGATGCAAAGCATTTTGAAATATAAGACATTTATCTGCCATATTTCAATTACGTGCTGACTTCCCTTATAATTGAGTTTTGCCCATAGGTTAAACATGGTTAGAAATGATATTTTTAAACTGAACAGATAAAAGAAGAATCTAGGTTAAGAAAAAAAAAACTTTCCTTAATAATAACAATAAATTTTAATCTGGCATAAATACATGTTATTAAATTTATTGTTAAAGATTGTGGCACTAGTCTTAAGTTTTATATAATGTCCCCCTAACTGTTGTTGAAATGTTTATTTTTATTCTTTAAATGCTCTGAGAAGTAATCATGGGGATCCTATTTAGCTCTTAGTACCACGAATCAAGAGTTCCGCATTCAGCTCTTGAGTCTAGGCTGTTCATATGTCATGGAAGCGCTGGATGGGGCTTGTGAGCAGATCTGCCCTGCTCAGCAGTCATCATAGCAGTTGATAGAAAATCAGTAGGGCCTGGATAGTTCTGATCAGTTTAACTTGAATCAGCATATCATTGACTAGACTGAAAATTGAATGGGCAAATAAGTGCTTTTGTACCCGGGGTATGGGAGACCCCTTGTACATTAAGATAGAAATCTTCTCCCTAAGGATTTCAACATAAATTTAAATTTTTTAACAAGATAAAGTGCTTTATTCCGTTGTACCTTGATTACTTTAATGTAACGTAAGCTAAACTGAAATAACATTTACTGTTTTGTAGGTTTGAAAAACTAAGAGATTTTTGTTTTTATTTTTGCTGATCAAAGAGATATGTTTAAATATGTCATATTGTTTAGTTACAGAACAATAATGAAATAGAGTTTATATTTGTTATTTCTATTTTGTAATATTTAATAACAGAGTTAGGTTGAAATAAAATAGGAAAAATTTTGCAGAATGTGGGTTTTTCTGGTGTTTCCCTTTGACTTTAGTGCACTGATGACCTCTGTCAGGCTCCACTGCGTTGAGTTCTTTGGCTGATACAGGAGATTGTCCTCTTGTCAGTGGTAATGAGATTTTTTAGGAAGGCAGTTTGACCATTTTAATCTTACAGATACCTTTATACTCTTAGGGTATTATTTTATATTAAAGCCTTGAGGATTGCATTCTATTTTACATATGACCCTCTTACATTTTTTTAAACACTATAGATAATAATGCTTCATTTACCTAGTATTTTCAAAGAATGAAGGATTTCAAACAAATGTGTTTCCCAGTTAACTAGTATTTACTATTTAAGAGCCAATATAAATGTTTAACCATTTGTGATGACAGTATCCCTAAAGTATATTACATACTTTCCTAAATACAGAGTTTAGAAAATAATTTCAGTAACGCTTAGATGATTTGGCTTCATCATTAAGAATATCCATTATTTTCTACTGTGTTATAAAACAGAAATGCCTTCATATAGACATAGTCTTTCAGACCTCTACTGTCAGTGACCATTTCTAGCTGCTTTTCAATGCTTTATTAATTTTAAGGCAAAGCTTTAATTTATATAATGCCTAGGAAGTATGGTTAATGCCAATTGCAGCTTTTTTTCTTAATTCCACATGACTGAGGCATATATATGATCACTGGGTTGTTGTGACAACCACAAATACTTAAAGTAGTGAATTTTTAATTATCTGGACTTAAAGAAGAAGGATCTGGAGTATACTTAAACATTTGGCTTGGAAATATGTTTCTTCATTTACATCTAAAAATAAGTATAACTGAAATTCAGAGGATCCATAAAAGTTCAAATGAAAACGATCAATTCTTTTGAAAAGGCAAGATTCAGGAGAGGAAGCTAAAGAAACCTTCTACAGACTGCGTTTTGCACAGTAAGGACTGGGTAAGGATGCAAAACATAAGCTTAACTAGTTCCCACACTCACATATCACATATGAATAGCGTGAGATAATTAGGTTGGATAGCAAACGGCCTTCTCTTTCAGCACTTGCACCACTACAAAACCATCCTTTATCAACAGAAGACTTATATAATCTAAACAAAAGACCAGTAAGTACCTAAAACCGAGATCTGCTATTGGTACATCTTAATGCAATCAGTTGATTCATGAATTGTTAGGAGTTGGCTGTAATAAATGTGTATAGGGCATTTTGATCTATTCAGCATTAAAAAAATAACTTTCAAGTACATACACATTTTTAAATAAAATATTTAAAGATAATTTAGAAAATTGCCTTAATTGTTGAGCAAAGAGACTAGGGGTTTTGCATATTAAGGGAAAAGTCATGGAGAAATAATACTGGTATCAAATGAATTACCTATTGATTTATTACAATGGAGATTGAATTTGATCCAATGGTTTAAGGAATGGGTAGGAAAATTTAGTTTCCATGTTTCTATTTCCTGTAAATCAGCGACATAAAGAATTCTTAGCTTATTTCTTATTTTTCTGTTTTAAGTATTGAGCTAAGTAAGTTGTATTTGGGGGTTATTTCTCATTTGAGACTTTCTCATATATTTTACTTTGTTTTGGCCTCCTATTTAAGATAAATAGTAGATAAAACTCTCATAAAGAAAAGATTTACATCACCACTATTGTATAACTGATTTTATTATACTTATTTCAAAGTTCATTTAAAAGTTATTCTCGATCCTTCTGTGATGGAATGGTCAAGAATTCAATTCCAACAACAATTTTAGTCATATCCAAAATAACCTTTAATACTAAACTTTACTAATGTATATCCAAAGCTTCTCCTTTTGAGACAAATTAATCTAGAAGCAGTCATAAACAGAAGAATAGGTGGTATGCTCCTAATGATATTATTTATACTAATGGAATAAGTTGTAATATTAGAAATTTTGCCGTTAATTTTATATCAGCCCTGATGATATAAAATTTCTCTGAAATTTTCTGACTTAGTCTGAACAAATTAGAAAATTTAAATTCAGATTCTTAGGCATAACGCAAGAAAGTAAACACATTAATGTTGTCAACATTTCCAAGCCAATTAAAAATATGTAAGATACTCACCAATATCTTCTCCAGGCTCTGACAGGCCTCCTGGAAACTTCCACATATTTTTCAACTGCAGTATATGGTTAGAAAATAAAGTTAAATACCATTTATTCACTAACACACACACACACACACACACACAGGAAGACTCTACAAAATCCATCCATAATTGGTCAAGGTAGTTGAGAATTTATTTTTGGTAATTGCATGTAATTTTTTTTAGCTGCCTTCCCTCTCCTTCCTTTCTTTTTTGGGGGAGCTAGTGACTGATGAAGTCTTTTCCCATCTTTTTCTTAGGAAATAGAAGTAGTTTGCTTTGGTTAATGTGATAAATTCTGTATGAATGAAACATTGGAGGGAAACATCTACTGAATTTCTGTAATTTAAAAAATTTCGCTGCTAGTTAACTATGAACAAATAGGAGAATCTTACAGATGCTGCTATAAATAAGTAGATAATACAGTATAAATTTAATCACTAAAGTATGCTGTTTTTAATTTTCACATCTATTTCCTGTATTGTGTTTTTAATCAGATATATTACTCTTAAGTTTTTGTTGTATGTATTAATGATTTTATGTAAAAATGTAATTGCTGTTCATGGGTAGTGTGAATAAAATGGATTAGTTTGTGTTTAACTGTCTACCATTTCTTTGTGTTTTCTTTTTTTTTGGTGAGGAGGGGCAAGTGGGAAGAACTGATCTTGGAACAGGGATAAATATAGAAAAAAACAGATTAAAAATAACTATTAGATGACATGGGCAATATTCTTATGGCTGACATGATTATTTTTTTCTTGTTAGAGTTCTGTTATATCCGTCACCATGATAAAAGCTGAAGAATGATTGAGAAATTATAACATATTCGTAAGAGAGCTGTACCTTTGGCCAGTAAACCTTATTCTTTTCTTCATTCATAAAACAAGTTGTGGACCTTTTACTGGTGTGTTTTGTGACCCACTCATTTCCTGGATGAATGCTTCTTAAAGAATGTGTCACTTCTCAGCTATGCTAGGTTGGAGACAAGTGGCATGGTTCCCAGAGTTTCCAAAGACTGTTCATTATGTGGGTACAGTATTAAGGCTTTCGACTCTTCCACGTCTGGCTTAGGCTTAACATTAATTTATAAAGCATATTATGATTTATTTTATTAATGTAGAAATATATCTATATCAATGTACTATATTTTGGGTTCTATTTTGAAATAGTTCCAGAAACATTGTTTCTACAAAAACTAGGCAGTCTTTTGTTGATAGATGTTGGACTTCACCACTGTAAATTCTAACAAAAGAAATGTTATAATGGGGCAGACAAATACTTCCTAAAAACAATCAAAGTCAACTTACAAAATAGACTTAACTATAAATGATTGGAGATTAACTGTTTATATAATTTGGAAATATGAACTTATTAGAGGAAAATGCTAGATATAAGGATTGAAAATGGCTCATACAAATTTGATTTTGATTATTTCATAAATTAAAACATATATGGAAAGAGTAGATACACTTTTATGCTAGTAAGTAGTTTGTGACATTTTCTGGCTCCATTAGGTTCAAAGAGTTTATTTTTAAAAAGCTTAAGCCTGAGTTCTAAGAGGGAGGTAGAGAGGCCTAAGTTATGTGGTTTAAAAAACCTGGTTTATGTTCTAGATGTGATCAATAGTGAGATAAGCATGTCTTCCCACTCTTTTTTTCTTTATATTAAAATATCCCATTAACTGGGTTTAGCACTATGACAATAATATTAAAATGCTTGCTAAATATACACTGAATGCTTACTATGTTCCAGACACTATGCTAAATATTTTTTTAAAAGTTTACATACATTTAAACTTCACAATAATCCCATGAAAGATTATTACTGTTCCCATTTTAGAGGTGATAAAACTGAGGGCATAAAAATGCTTAATAACTTGCCTGGGGTCACACAGCCAGTGTGTGATAAACTCAGGGTTAAAATCCAGGCCAGGGTGATTCTAACCCTCTTTTAAGAAATTTAAAAAGTTGATTTGATATTTTCTCACTAATCCTTAACTACCGTCCACTTTTTTCATATACTTTTTGATCTTTTCCTCAGACTTAATGGGAACATTCTATGTAAATCCAATCAGAATCCATATCTTAGTCTTACACTCCTTCAGAGCTGTGAATTTGGAATAAAATCTAGTTTAGTGTCAAACATCCTTATATCTACCTGTTGCCTGTGAGTTTCCCATCTAGAATCTTCTGATTGATTTCCTAGCTACTAATTTATTATTATTCTATCTTTCCAATATATTGTTTTATGAGAAAAAAGTTATTGAGGATGGGTTTTAAAAATTCAGCCTCTTTGAATTGTGTTTTTTGTCTTTGTTCTCCCTTCCTATAAAAGAAGACAAAATTATCTCTGCTTCAAGTGTAAAATTCCATGATCTATTTTTTCCCTAATCTTAAAAAAGGAACTTTCCACTCTCTTCTAAAAGAAATATTCTTAAATGTTCTTGTGCCTGGTTGCTTTGTTGGGTAATACCCAATGTTCACATACATGACCCCTCCCTGCTTTGAGTTCATGAAGTCATTTAGTTCCTTAAGCATATCTGATTTTTATGTATACTATATAAGGTAAAGGATCCTTTTAACTTATAAAAATACGTGATTTTAAACAATAGAGTAGTTCCATCATATTTCAGAATGGCAAATGGGTTGACAAATTTTCATATACATTTGCCAATTATAAATATGTGTGTCTCTCTGTGTATGTGTGTGTGTGTTTGTAAGTAAATAGAAAATAGAAGACAATGTGGATGATATAATGATGGTCTCATCTATTACTCTGCAATCCTTCCTCAGTGGTAGGAATTGCTAGCCCAAAAAATAGGTATTTTGGGTAACAACAAAGGGTACACTTTCTAACTCATTTTTCAGAGATGTTAACAGAATGTTAGGACACCTACTCTGTTAAAGCAATTTCAAGTTTAATAGCACTATTTTTTAAAAAACTTGTCTTGAAGATAAATTCAAGTTTATTTTAGGGCTTCTAGGATGAGTGAAAAGGAATGAATCATTTTCTGATCCTTTTCCTTACTATTTTCTTGGTTCCACAGAAATCTTCTGTTCTCCTAAGCAGAGGATTCATTTTAGAACCTACCCTGGGCATGGCTACTAAAATCCTGACCAGAAGTTGTGTAAACACAACCCCCAAAAGACCACTAATTTCTTTCAACCATATCTCAAGAATCTAGAACAAGGGGACAGACCTGCTAAGCGTCTTCCACTTGGTTCTCTTATATCATGCGACTTTCTTGTTCTGCCTTTACTCCAGCTTGGTCAGATGCTAGAAGTTTGCTTATCTTTTATTTTCATTGTTCTAGTCTTTAATGCTACTATCACTTTTTAGAATTCAGACCTACTGTATTTAGATAAATCTAGCTACAATATTATCACTGTTACCAATGAGATAGAAGCTATCAGAGTGTCTCATAGGCTTATTCATTCATTCAACAAAAATTTATTGAGTGCAAGGTACTAGCCGTACAGAAATTAATATATAATATAGCAAACCCAGTCATTTCCTTTATCCCTGCACCATGTATTATGCTTAATAACACTTATCCCACCTTTCATATTATTTATTCATTTTATTATTTCTATCATACACATTTGAATACAAGCTCCAAATGTAGAAACTTTGCTTTGTTCACTGATGTATGCCTAGTGCTTAGAACAGGGCATATAGCCTTTTTGGTTTAAATAAATATCTAAGTGATCCATAACTGCTTAGAAACAACTTTAAAAATATCTTTCTATAACTCCTTAGGCATATCAAAATTTCTACATTTTATTTTTCTCTATAAAGAAAACATTTGGAAAGCAATTTATAAAGCAGAGCAACTTACTTTATTTCGATCTTGTACAACCAATATTTTTCTAGTATTTTCATCAAACACAGCTCCTGATGGGAAAAAAAATAAAAGATAATTGAGAAATATTGATTTCATTCATCCTAGACTCCTCCCACACTCTTTATCTGTGGTCATCAAAATCATACCTATACTTGAAGCCTTGTTCAAATATAGGCTGAGCATTCCTTATCCAAAATGCTTGGGACCAGAAGCATTTTGGACTTTTTCAGATTTTGGAAAATTTGCATACACATAATGAGATTCCTTGGGGCTAGGACCCAAGTCTAAACGTGAAATTCATTTATGTTTTATATGCACCTTATACACATAACCTGAAGGTAATTTGATACAATATTTTTTAATAATTTTGTGCATAAAACAAAGTTTTGACTGCATTTTGACTGTGATCCATCACATGAGGTGAAGTGTGAAATTTTTCACTTGTGTTATGTTGGCACTCAAGAAGTTTCAGACTTTGGAGCATTTTGGATTTTGGACTTTCAGATTAGGGATGCTCAACCCACACAATCTCATCCGTGAAGACTTGTAAAATCTCTCCAGCAAGAAAATAATTGCTCAGTTGTTCAAGTTCTTTTAACAATTTAGAGTACTTACCAATGATGGTTCTAGCATTTGTTAACTTGTAGGATAATCATCTGCATAAACTTCTTCTCTAGATTATCTGTTCCTGATGACACATAGTTAAATAATCTTTGAATCCTTTTATAGTATTTAGTGTTCAGAAAATTATAAGTACTTGTCTTAGTCCATTTGGGTTGCTATAAAAAAAATTCCACGGACTGGGTAGTTTATAAACAACAAACTTTTATTTCTCACAGTTCTAGAGGCTGGGAAGTCCAAGATCAAGGTGCCAGCAGATTTGGTGTCTGGTGAGGGCCTATTCCTCACAGATGTCACCTTCTAGCTGTGTTCTCCCATAGTGGAAGGAGCAAACAAGCTCCCTTGGGCCTCTTTTATAAAGGTGCTAATCCCGTTGATATGAACTCTGCCTTCAAGACCTAGTCACCTTGCAAAGGCCCCACCTCTTAATACCATCACACTGGGGATTAGGTTTCAACATATGAATTTTGGGGAGACACATTCAGACCATAGCAGTACTTAAAAATATTTATTGAATAAATGAATGGACTTCTTCATGTTTATTTTTATTTCTTGAATCACTATACATAGAACACAGTCTGCACCCCCTGACAATCCAAATCCCAAATATCTCAATATTCAGTTCAAGACCTCCCTGAAGCCAATTAAATTTCCTTACCATGTATGTACACAACTTTATAGCCTACTAATATATTGCTTTGGAAGACTTCTTTATTTTATATGTTTTAAATTCTAGTTCATTTCTTTATTCATTCATGATATATATTGAGTATTGTCTCTCTCTCTTTAAAAATATTTCCCTTTGGGCAATCCTAGGTCAAAAATACAAATGACACTTTAATTATTTATATTAGGTTCTGTTAGCTGCTATAATTTCAATATATTTGTATTACATAATATGAGAGGATATTTTTAAAAAGATATTTTCTACACATTTGTCCATGTTTTCAGTATTAATTGAGTTCCTATATATAATATATATAGGTCTTATATCTATTAGTTGAGCTCCTATCATGTTTCAGGCACTTTTCTAGGTGCTAGGGATGTAGTGGTGAACAAAAGAAACAAAACTCCCTATCCTTACAGGGCTCACGTTCTGGTATGTGTGTGGGAGGGTGCCAAATAAATAAAAAATAAATTATATAGAACACTAGAAGGTGGTAAATGCTAATTTAATAATCTAATTGGACTTTACAAGGAATAGAATGCCAAAGAAATGCCAAGGAAACCTTAAATTTTAATAATTTGTGATTACTCAAATTGAGCAATGACAATTCCCTAATGAATTCATTATAAGCATGAGCACAATGTCACAAAGGCAAAATCAGCACCGCTAAAGCACAATTTGAGCGACCCCTGCTGGTCACAACATGAAAGTTAAGTAAATCCAAGGATACCGGGGATTAAACAGAGGTTATTACATTATTATGATTAGTCAGGCACTGTGCTAAGTGCTTTATGTACATTATCTCAGGTATAAATCACAATAATTCTGAGTAATATCATTTATGAGTGCCTGAGTTCACCCAGGTCTACGAGGGACTGACAGCCAGTCTGTATTCTAAATAGGCACTCTTCTCATTGTGCAACACTGCCCCATCGTGATGCTACAACTGCTCTCTCAGAGAGCTGACATTTCCATCCAACCATTCATTCAAGAAATATTGAGTATCTACTTTATATCAGATACTGTGTTTAGCCTGAGGATATAATGGTGAAGAAGACATAAAATATCTGCCTTCATGGAGTTTATATTATCATGGAGGAGATTAAGCACATGCTGTAATTTCAGACAGAAATAAAGAAAGATAAAACTGGATTAAGGGACACAGAATGATGGGATTAGTGTGTGTGTTGGGGGACTCTCTTTTAGACAGGAGGGTCAGGAGCTTTTCTGAGAAGGAGACACTTGAGCAGAAACCTCAGCTGTAAAGAACTAGATAAACAAAGCTCTGGGGAAGCACATGGCAGGAAGGGAAGCCCATAGGTGTAAAAGCTCTGGGTCAGACAAACGCTTGCTAGGTCTGAAGAAAATAAGAAAGCCATAGCTCCCTCTGTCCCAGCCATACCTGCCTTCTGTTGTTTATAACAACAAATGGCAACTATTGTCTCTCTACCTTAAAAAAACTCTGCACCTTTCCAGAACAATTTCTTGCATTACCTTGTCCCCATCCCCAATAACTTCTTCAAATCCTATTAATCATTATTCTTCAAGACTGGTCAAGTTCCACATTTCCCATTCCCTGAACTCCTGTGATACTACCAAACTATAATGCATAACATGGTATTATACTTAGTTATAAACGGGTCCTTCACAGGCCACTCTATACATATATTACCAATTTTGTAGTAGTAACTGAAAACTCTAATTTAAAAGTCTATGCCAATGAATAATAATTACTTGTGTGACTTCCCAGTGAAGTGTGAGGCTATCACCAAATTATTGAGTAGAATCTCTAAAAATAGAGTTGAATGGAAAGTTTCTGAATGTCGCTACTTGCTGCAGGGCAGTAAGACCATGGAAAGAGAAGACATTCTTAGACATCCTTGAACAACTCCTTTAAAAGATTTCAAATGTGAAAACGACCTTAAAAACTCTTGTAAATTATATAAAGGCAAATAAAATTATTAATTAAATTAATAATTAATATGTATTATTGCTTTCATTAAGGCCATAAGGATACCTTACTATTTTAGTTTTTGTGGAAATCTAAGAATTTCTGTAATCCTGGTTCTTAAGGGGTGGTAGTCAGACCAGCTGCAGCAGCAGTAGCAGCAGAAAAAGCAGAAACAGCCAGAGAAATTGTACAAATTTTCGGGCCCCACCCCAGACCTTGGGCTCAGCATTCTGTTTTAACGAGCCCTCCAGGTGATTTTGATGCAATCTACAATTTGAGAACCCCTGTCTTAATCTGAAAGGAAGTCTTCTCTCAACTTTCCTATGTCTCTGAAGCTAATCAGTAACTTCAAAATTCCACTATATGGGCTGGGCGCGGTGGCTCACGCCTGTAATCCTAGCTCTCCGGGAGGCGAGGCAGGTGGATCGTTTGAGCTCAGGAGTTCGAGACCAGCCTGAGCAAGAGCGAGACCCCGTCTCTACTAAAATAGAAAGAAATTACTTGGACAACTAAAAATCTATATAGAAAAAAAATTAGCCGGGCATGGTGGTGCATGCCTGTAGTCCCAGCTACTCGGGAGGCTGAGGCAGTAGGATCACTTGAGCCCAGGAGTTTGAGGTTGCTGTAAGCTAGGCTGATGCCACGGCACTCTAGCCTGGGAAACAGAGTGAGACTCTGTCTCAAAAAAAAAAAAAAAATTCCACTATATGTTTAAATTATGCTATTTTAAACAACTATTTGGCACAATAACTTAATGTCAATGTCGTTAAGAAGTAATGTTCAAATCATTGAAAATTTTTGTTTTCTTTACCTTAAATTCAACATAAAGTTATCTTTCACTTTACAAACTCACATAATTTGTCCTAATGTTTTACTATAATAAATTTATTTACTGATCCCAATTCAGTGTTACTATTTGAGTAGTGAAGTTTAATTATCTGTGTAAAACATGTTCAAGCACATCTGTTGGAAAACTAAACATGTTCTCTGTGCTGCCATCTGCTGATTGATAAGGCAAATTTCATCTATTTAAAAGAACCATGTAAAAAAGTAAATAAATACATAAAATAGATGCGCTATGTAATAGTCCCAAGGAAGATAGAGTAGTGCCTCTCATCTGTGGTTTCAAGTTCTGTGGTTTCAGTAACCTGAGGTCAACCATGGTATGAAAATGTTGCATTACCACTCTTGTTCTTTGGGGCCGTTATTAAGTAAAATAAGGGTTACTCGAATGCAAGCACTATGGTACCATGACGGTCTGTCTATCTGATAATGACACAGCTATTAAGTGACTAACAGGTGTGTAGCATATACATTGTGAATGTGCTGGACAAAGAGAGGATTCACATCTCAGGCAGGATAGAGCAGGAGAGGGAGATTTCATCATGCTACTCAGAGGTGCACGATTTAAAACTTATCAATTGGTTTTTTCTGAAATTTTCCATTTATATTATATTCCTGTGTCACTGACCTCACTTCATCTCATCATGCAGGCATTGTATCATCTTGCATCATCACAAGAAGAAGGGTAAATGTAGCACAATAATATATTTTAGAGAGACCATGTTCATACAACTTTTATTACAGTATATTTTTATAATTGTTTTATTTTATTAGTTACCATTAGTCTCTTACTGTGCCTAACTTATAAATTAAACTTTATCATAGGTATGTATGTATAGGAAAAAACATGGTGTGTATAGGGTTTGGTACTATCTGCAGTTTTGACATCATTGGGGGTCTTGGAACACATCCCCTGTGGATAAAGGGGGACTACTGTTATCATTTAATCCAATAATTCATTCCACATAAAAAAAAAATCTGCTCAGCTGTGAGAAGCAAGAAATCGAGTGAACCTCTAAAAAGTTAATGCTGGTTGTCATGAGTTTGAAACTGACCTGCAACTCCTACTTGATGTGTAGCATATCCTGGTAATCTGCTGGGCCCTTCTCCCAGCCACAGAGTCAGCGTTGAAGAATCCGATTCCGCATGGTGAAAGCAGAAGCCCAGGGAAGCGGCAGGGGCAATAAATCGGCTCTGGAGGATGGGAACGTGCAGCCACACAGCTATTCTACCTTCTGATCTCCATTGCTGTATTGCAGCTAAAATGTAGGAGATAAGAGTCTGTAAATATTTTCCAGTGAGACAAGTGGAATAAATTAAAATTCACCTCATGGTGTCACCTCGTGGTCCAGGAAGCCATCTGTAAGCATGTTAGCTCTCTGGAAAGGGATCCCAAAATGTTCTGTTTATATCACCAGCATGGGAACTACCACGTTTTACCATAATTACCACCTCATTTATATGATTTTTCCATCAGACTAAATTTCTTGAGAATAAAGTCAGTATAGTGCTGACTTTATATCCATATCATCTAAGATAATGCTTGGCATATAATACGTGTTCAATAGTTGTAGAATGGACAAATAAACTGATTTAAACAAAACAAATTGAATGCTGTTCCTTTTAACATCCTTAAGTTTAATCTTAATAAATGACTTATGGACTTGTTTTCCTTTAAGAGTTCTTTCATAATTTTTTTATTTATAAATTTCAAGGTGGTTAAAATATAAGTAATTATTTTAAATTAATGTATGCTAGTTCTAGAAATTTTGAAAATAAAGAAAAATGTAATGAAGAAATCAAAACCTCACATTTTATTAGCACACAGATAAATTTAAAATTTTAGTATTTTCCCATAATTTTTTGAATTAACATTATACCATATATATCATATGTCTTTCACTACATATTGCATTTTAAATATTTTGCTATGTCATAGAAATTTTTAATGAATATGAATGTCTAATGACTGCATAGTTTCTCTCATATACGTATACGATAGGCTACTTAACCTTCTACACTTGAACATTTAGATTGTTTCCAATTTTTCTTTACTATAAATAATATGATGAACATAATGATAGGTTTTCTGTCTTTGACTTCTTTAAATTTGCCTATTTTATTACTTAAGGTTGAGCCAGGGGCTAAAGATGCTAACATTTGAACCTTACTAAGTTCCAGAGATGCTTTATATACATTATCTCATTAAGTGCTCACAACCGTGAAAGACAGTTATTATTACCTTAAACTTATGGGTGAAGAAATGAGTATGTCACAGTTTTAGAGAGTTTTTAGAAAAACTGTTCAGATCAATTTCTTCAATCATCATCTCAATCATAATAACCCTGTAAAGTGTGTGTGGGTGCACACGTATTTGGAGGCTTGATTATCTATTTAATTAGTTAATTTCCTTTTCTTTCTCCCTTCCTCAGCTCTGCAGTAAGACCCTGCCTGTTAAGAACCACATTTTCTGCCTCTTTGAAAGTTGGTGTGCCTAGCACAATGACAAGAACATGGGGCCTTTGATAAAGACTTGTTGATTCGACTTAGCCTGCATTGAGGCTACGGATCAGATCCTTCTCACCTTGCTCTCTTTCTCTGATTAAATCTTTTTATTAATAAAATTGAGGTATGATTACATAAAGTGAAATGTATAAATCTTAAGCATACATTTGATGAGTTTTCACATATGCCTACTCCCCTAACTCACACTTTGATTAAGCTTATAAAACCTTTCTATCACCCCACAGAGTTTCCATGTGTTCCTTCCCTGACAATCCTTCCCATCAAACAAAAAAGATGACGTTTCCAAAGGCATTGTCAGTTGCTGCTGTTTTATATCTTTACATTCTTTGCCTTGGAGACTCCATCCATTCTTACGGCTTCAACTAACACCTACATAAGATGACTGCCCAGTCCTGACCTCAGTGAAGGTCAGTTGCTCTCAGACATTTCCTGAAGGTTGCCACTTCAAACTTCACAAAGTATGTTCAATACTGAATCCTATATCACATATTAACTTCACTTACAAGCTTGTTTATTGAGCCAGTGCTTGCCAGCTTAGAATTTTTAATTCCTTTTTCTTTTTCTCTAATAAACATTATTGCTTTTTCCTCCCCTATCTCCCATATTCATCCTTCAAAATCCAGCTCACATACCTTATCTTTGACAAAAATCTTTCCTAATCACTGCTCAAGATATCCATTATGTAAACTTAGGATTACTATGTCTGCATTACCTAATGATATCTCTTCCATTATCCATTTTTTCTAATCATATTTAATATTCTATGTACTTGCAATCTTCCAGGTTAACTACATATATGTATATATTGTACATATATACATATATATATATATTTTTGAGACAAGATCTCACTCTGTGACCCAGGCTGGAGTATGGTGGTGCCATCACAGCTTACTAAGGCCTCAAACTCCTGAGCTCAAGTGATCCTCCTGACTCATCCTCCTGAGTAGCTGGGATTACAAGTGCCACCACCATGCCGGCTGGTTAACCTGATATTATGCACTGGGGCTCAATTCATATTTATTAAATGATTGGCTTGCCTAAAGTCACATAGCTAGTAAGGGGCATAGCAAGGACCAGAACCAGAGCTATTTCACCACTATTACAGATATACTGTATGTGAAACTAACAACCTATTGTCTGCTTATCCATCTAACTTGGAAGTTGTCAATAACAAACAGGAACCCTGAAAGAATAGTGGACACATAAAACTATTGCTAATACATTATACACAATCAATTTACTTGAACAGAGATAGACTTCCTATCAGGCTTTCTTCTCAGATTTTGGTTCTCTTTATAGGCACTACCATTTGGTTAGTTTTATTTGACTCTGTTACAACAGAACTAGCAGTAGCTCTTAGAGGCAGCATAATGCAGTGAGTAAGAACAGACCTAGAGCCAGGGGAAGTTACTTTATTCTCTCTGTGCCTCAAAACCGTTATCTTTAAAATGGGCATAATAATAGTTATCTACCTCACAGGGTTGTTATGAGGATTAAATTAATTAATATTTGTAAAGGTCCTAAAACAGTGTCTAGCACTTAGTAAGTGCAACAGAATTTATTAAAAAATATAAAAGTTTATAGTACTTCAGCATTTACAAATTAGTTTAATCTCTGATCACATCTACCTAGTAATTAGGGCTGGGATTATTCACATCAAGCTACTTAAGAGGCAAATATTTTCAGTGGCAATTTGCTTAATGCCCGGCCACACGAGGCAGAACCTGGGACATGAACCCTGGATGTGGGCCTCCAAATCCAACATGCTGTTTTACCATGCTGACTGGGGAGTGCTTTGATCACTTGTTTGGTCACTGACAAGTATCGCTGTGCAATAAATACCTGTGTCTACCCACACGTATCTACATATATCAGAAGATAAATTGATTCTCTTCCTGATGATATTGTTGGAATCTAAGTGGGATTGCCAGCAATTATTCATAAACAGGAGAAAATGACGTGAAGAGCTAAGAGTTTGGGAATGAAGATTATTAAACAATAAAATAACTAGCTCAATTATATTTACAGATTTGCTCGCTGGCCATATTACTTAATATGATAAAGATTATTTGAACTTTCTTGTTAGTGTGAGAGGATCTTTCCATAGCTGAATTTCCACGCCATGTCCTCAATTAGATTATAAGGCTCTCAAAGGCAGTTTGAAAACCAGGCTGCTCCACCAGATCACAGATTTCTCCCAAAGTGAAGGCTCCTCCATCCAAGCTTTTTTTCTTATCACTGGGCTCAAGGTTCAAAGCCAGTGGAAAGTTTATTCTTATTGACTTGACGACTGAAGCCACCCACCACGTGGCCTCCCTGGTTAATCATAAGACTTGTTGCTCTATGAGCTGAACCAAACTTCAGTTCTTGCCCCGACAGCTCCTGCTCGATTTGTGTACTAATGTGACCACTAAGAACCTCTCTGGTCCACTGATGATGGTCCACCACCGGCATTCGAATGGAAGGCAGTTTTGCCTTGGGCAAAGTGCCCGGCAGAACCTAGGCTCGGTAAAGGATAGCAAGTGATAATATATTCATATTAACAAACATCTACTGAGGGTTAAATATGTGACAGACACCGTGCTCTGCACTTTATACGCATTATCCAAATTAACCTTCCCACGAGCTCCTATTGCCCGAGTTTATGGATGATGAAATGGCGGTCTACAGAACTTGCCCAGCATCATACATTTGTGACCAAAGAGTGGACTAGAAACCAGGACCGCGGATCCGAAGTCTGGGATCTTTACCATTTCACCCAAACACCTCAGAGACCTCCCAGAAAAGGGCTGAAGAACTCATGGGAGCAAACGGGTCCGAGTCACGCGTACCCTCGCCCCTTCCCTCTGGGCTCAGTACTTCACTGGTGCACACAGCGACTCGGGGGTGGGGGCAGCGGTTATGGCATTATACGGGCTCAGGAGCCCGGGAGGCTTTCGCCCCAGGCGCACTTGCCCTGCAAGCCCTTCAGGAAGGCGGCGGGGTCCAGGCGATCCAGCGCTCCGAGCCGCGCCAGGCGCACTGAGACGCCCCCGAATCTGTCCAGCTCGCCCCGTAGCTCGCACGCTCCGACTGGGGGTTCCTGCGCGCAACCCTGTCTGCCCGAGGCCCCGCAGTACCCCGCCGAAAACCTGGGGTGGCAGGCCCGGGCCAGCACCGAACGCCAGTAGCCCCAGATCAGCAGCGGCGACATCGCCTCCCCGGCATTTTCACTGCGCCTCCAAGTCACCGATCCTCCACGCTCCCGTAAATTTTAGAAGAGTGTCGCTTCTCTGTTGAACAGAGGTTACTATTTCGCAGAGTGCGGCCCGCCAGCCCCTGTCACCAATTTGCCTAACTCCGGTTAAGCGGAGCCACTTATTTTGTTTGCTAGTTTTGTATTGTTTTGTTTTGTTTTTTGGAGACAAGTTCTGGCTCTGTCGCCCAGGCTGGAGGGCAGTGGCCTGATCATGGTTCACTTGCAACCTCAAACTCCTGGGGTCAAACGATCCTCCCTCCTCAGCCTCCCAAACTGCTAGGATTACAGGCGTGAGCCACTACGCCGGTCCTGTTAGTTGATTAAGTCAACAGTTGTTTGCTTAGGGATGGGAAGGTGGGCGGAGATGCAAAAAAGTCCTGGGTTCTTTTATTGGAATTTATAATTTCAATGGCAGTTCTGTTCACTGAACCTGTCTTCCTTTGCAGATGTCAGAACCTCTGCAAACGCTTGAAGAACGGTGTTTCTAAAGACGTTCCCCCCAATCCGTCATCCCCGTGGCTCGCCGGTCTGCCCGCCTGCTTGTCCTCCCGCCTTGCTGCGCTCCACTCGGGAGATTACGGCGCGTAGGCGGAACCTCGCCGACTCCTGCCCCGGAAGTTTTTGGTGAAGCGCGCACGTTGAGCTGGCTTCGCCGGGCTACCTTCGCCGGGCTGCCTTCGGATCATGTCTTCCAAGAAGAACAGAAAGCGGTTAAGCCAAAGCGCGGAACATGGTTCGTCCTTGCTCGCTGCTGCTTCCTCTCGTGCGGGAGCAGCTGCTCCTTCTGCCTGCTCAGACTTCGCAGCGGCAGCCGGGACTCTGGTGGTGACCAACTTCCTAGAAAAGGGTAAAGAATTCCGTGAGGGAGACCCGGGGCCGAGGGGGCGCAGCCTGAGGGGGCGAGATCTTGAGGTGCAGAGGCTTTTGAAAGTTTGGCGTGGCATAGGTGTGAGAGCGGCGCGGAAGTACGTGAGACTTATGTATGTAAGAAGCATGTGTAATATGTATGTAAGTATGCGAATGTAGCCGCGCCTGCGTTAGAGAAGTTAGGCAGAAATGGTTTATCCGCGTCTAAGTCGTTTCTTTTGTGAAGTGTTTTGAATATTTAAATTGTATTTGAAACAACTTTGTGTTGTTAAAGATTAACGACATTTAACTGTGCAAAATTGTTCGTATTTAGCGAGCATAGGATACGTATACTAAAAATCTAAATACCTAGTTCAGTAAAAATGTGGATCTGTCCTTCCTAAGAGACATTATTGTGTTTTTAAGAGTGAAGATGGCTTTTTCTTCTGTTACACAGGTGCGGGTGTTTAACAGCTGCAATTAATTACACACTAGTGTTAGTGGTAGGTTAGGTGTGTCACATACTTATTAAATTTTCACAGAAACTGTGACAAATGGTACTTTATTATAATGTCCATTTTACAGAGGAAGAAAAAATGTGATTCCATTCAGGTTCCACAAGTACGAAGTGGCAGAGCCAATATTTGAGTCCAGATGTATTTGACTCCAAAGCCATTATTTTAAATTACAGCTCCCCCGACTTAGAGAACGGATTTATATTTGAAAAGTCATTTAGTTGGTAAAGCTTCTAGCATGCTTGATGTGTATTATCTTTGAAAAATAGTGGCAAGATTTTTATGTCTAATCAGACCCTAAAGACAATCTTAGAGTTTGAATAGTGTTTCATTCTTCTTTAGGGATTAGAGGACAACTTGTTCTTTCCTGCCGATTCATCTTCTTTTTAACTGGATCCTTCCTGTTGGCATTTAAACATGCTCATTTTTCTTCCATCTGAAAACAAAAGCTCCACATTTTCTTCTACCACCACCTTCTCTCTTTCCCTTCATTGCCAAAGTTCCTAAATAGAGTGGTCTCTGCCTCGTCCTCACCCACGTACTCCTTAGCCTGTTCGTATTTGACTTTCACCCCATCATTCCATGGAAACTGTTCTGCCATTGTCACCAGGCATCTCCATATTGATAAATCCAGTGGATAGTTTTTGATTACTTACCTTTATTGACCTCAGCAGCTTTTGGCATTGTTGACCATTTCCTCCTCCTTGAAACACTTCTTGTCTTACATGTCATCAACTTTCTTAGTTTTTCTCCATCCTTGTTTGGTACTTTGTGATTTTCTTTTGCAGGCTGATCCTTTTCCACCTGACCATTAGATGTTGAAATTCCTCAATTCTTAGTCCTAAACCCTTTTTTCCTCTCTATGAATCTTCTCTCTCTGGCAAATTCATCCAATGCCCAAAGTTTCCCATCTATAGTCTATTCAATATCAGATTTATATTTGTAATTCATACTGAGTCTTGATTCAGTTGTCTTTTACATCATGGCTTTTCAAGCTCTCTATGGCAAAGGTTTTAAAATTTACACTATGTCACAGATTGGTACTTTTGTAAAATACAATAAAAATGATTTACTAGAAAAATAAGTTAAACAAATTTTAGATTCAACAGATGTAAAATTACTCTGTTAAATTGTAATAAAAGCTTCTAAAGCTAATTTTCATTTTTTGTACTTAGCTCATCATGAAGCAGTAGCAGTTTGTGGACCACATTTTAAATAGCACTGTACAATACCTCTTCTCTTAAATGTCCTAAAGGTACTTCAGGACTGACTTTATGAGCCCATATTTCCTCCAACAAAACAAACTTCAGTTCTGTTCAGTTTTTCCCATTGGAAGATTCAGAAATCTAGGAGTCATTCTTGACACCGCTTTCTCTCACATCTCACATATCCAGGCCACCACCAAGTCATGTTTATCACCTAAATATTTTCCATGTTCCTCTTCCTCACACTATTCCTACTGCTTCCACCTTCATTTCAGATGCCATCATCTCACCTGGGCTGCTACGACAGCCTTTTAACTGGTTTTCCTGCTTTCAATTTTGCTCCCTTCCTTATTCCTTTTCCGTTCTGCAGCCAGAATGATCTTTTTAAAATGGAGATTCTGTCATGACCCTGCTTTTCATTCCTCCCTGGGCTCCATTGCTGTCAGAGTAATGGCCAGCATCTTGATGCAGCCTGCTGCCCTGGAGTGGTCTTGACCTTTACATGACCCCTTTTGTCTTCCACCACTCTGCCTGTACTCTCTCCTAAGGATGCACCAATACTCCCTTCTGCCCAGAACCTCTGTACATGCTGTTCTCTTTGCTGAACATTATCTTTTTCTTCCCTTTGTTATTTCCTACTTGTCCTTCAAATCTGAATTTTCACATTACTTTCTTTGAGAAGCATTCTCCGATTCTTCAAATTAGGCCGGATCCTACGTTGTAGGCTCTCCTAACACTCTTAGTCATTCTTTCATTGTGTTAATCTAAGTTTATAATTTTATAGTTACTCAGTGATTGTTTGATAACTCTTACCCCACTAGATTATAAACTCCGTGAGGCCCACGACTTGTGAACAACAGTACGTAGCAAAGTATCTGCCATCTAGTAGGCATACAGTACATATTTGCTGAATGAATAAATGAAGGGTGGATTGTTGTTTGAAATTACAATCTCGTTAGTTAATCTGGCACTTATGGTGCTCAATAAATGTGAAGGTAGTTAATGGGAAAGTGAATGTTGAGATATATTTTTAAAGTATTACAGGAGCCAGACATGGTGGCTCACTCCCATAATCCCAGCACTTTGGGAGGCTGAGGCGGAAAGATTGCTTGAGGCCAGGAGTTCAAGACCAGCTTCGGCAATATAGCGAGACCTCCGTCCCCACAAGAAAAAAAAAATTAGCTGGACTGGTGGCATGCACTTGTAGTCCCAGCTACTCTAGAGTTTGAGGTGGGAGAATCACTGGAGCCCAGGAGTTTGAAGTTACAGTGAGCAGTGATTGTGCCACTGCACTTCAGCCTGGGCGATAGAGTGAGACCCTATCTAAAAAAGACCCTTTCTCTAAAAAATAAAAAAAATAAAATGAGGTATTAGAGGAATGAGAACTGATGAAAGAAAGTGTGGGGATGGCTTGGATGATGAAAGCAAAAAATACAATGGTGATATATTGGGAAATAATGCGAGTGGAGGGGAATTTGCCCATCATCTCCGTTGACAGGGAGGTGGGGAGGTATTTAGGCAAGCCTGTGATTTGTTAAATCCTGGGGCACGGTGAATATTCAGGATAGGATGGAGGGAAGAAGAAGAAGACCTAGAGTCTTGCAAAGGACACAGTCCCCTGGTGAGGTAATTGTCAAGAGGGAAAGGTAGCTTCTTGGGGTTTAGGAAGAAAGAGACAGAAACTGAATATTATGAGGTCATCTAATAGCAGCTGATGCTTTGCTATTATTGACTGGCAAACTAATTAAGAGACCTAATTCTCACAAGAAAGTTGAATTTCTGTTTGGCTTCTCATATTATGTAGCATGCTCATTAGCATGCTCATTTCATTTTATACCCAATACCTCATGCATCTCGCTCTGTGAAATGCTTTGTTTTTCTAGATTTTCTCCTCTGATAACAGAAGGAAAATAAATGTGTTGGGGATTTATTTTGTAGTGACGGGATTATGTAAATCAGATGTTCTTCATGGTTTTGCTTTCATTAATTTCTTTTTCATTACAAAAGATGTTTTTGTGATTATTAAGGAACACTAATATTAGGTAAAGCTCTTTGATTATGGTATGTGTGTCTGTAATAAATTTTACAAAAGTTTGTGTCAAGTTTAAACTCCCTGTTTCATAGATTGTGTACTGAAAAGAAAAATACTGTATACTCACCTACTGCATTCATTCATTTCGTTGATATTTATTGTAGAACTGCTATATTTGCTGTACTGTTAGGCATTGGAGATACAAAGATAAGTATGACCCAATTCCTGCCCCAGAGCAGCATACACTTTAGGAGAAAGACTGTAAAACAAATGGATATTAGGATAAATGCTAATATCTGGCAGCTCAGAGGAGAATCAGAGGAGGGACTACTAACCAAATGTGGAGCCTTGTTGGGGTGGGGTGGGTTGGGAGGGGCGGAGATGTTAGCACGTCATTTTCAGAGGTGTCGTCAACTGGGCTGAATTCTGGGCCCCTTCAGCCAAATGTTGAAATCACTAATGGTGATTTCAGTCAGTGTGTGTTTGTATGAGGAATAAGACTAATGTTATTATCTTATCTGTGTATTCTTGGTAATAGAGAAAAAGATCTGATTACTATTATATGGGTCAGAAGTAGAAACATAACTTAATCCTCTAGATCCAGATAGAAGTGCCAGTTCCCAGTTCAAACCTTTGAATACCAGTAGCTGACTCAACTTAGAATCTGAACTACAGAAAGCTCAGAGACTCTCTACTGCAAGTACATTTAGTTCTTAATGAAATTGGAGACTTAAAAAGAGTTAATAAACTAATACCCTGTAAAACGTCCTCTTTTGAATTGATATTCATATATTGTCAGTAAACCCTCAAAAGGGTCTGGTTTTAAATTTGTTGGCCAGACGTGGTGGCTTATGCCTGTAATCCAAGCACTTTGGGAGGCCAAGGTGGGAGGATTGCTTAAGGCCAGGAGTTTGAGACCAGCCTGGGCAATAATGAGACCTTGTCTCTACAAAAAAATTTTAAAAAATTAGCCAAGTGTGGTGGTTCATGCCTGTAGTCCCAGCTAGTTGGGAGGCTAAGGCAAGAGGATTGCTTGATCCCAGGAGTTTGAGGTTGCAGTGAGCTATGATGACACCATTGTCTTTTGACCTTGTCTCAAAAAAATTAAAAATTTAAAAAAATTAAATTTGTTAAAATGAGGATTAGAGCAGTGGTTTCTCCAGGGTATGGTAAGTGCATTCATGTGGTTATATGGATAGAAGATTTTTGTTTACTTCAAAAGAAAGCATACTTTAACTTCAGTTAAAAATACTACAAAAATAATTTTCTCTTTCTTCCTCACAGATGACAAAATTCCTAAAACATTCCAGAATTCCCTGGTTCATCTTGGACTCAACACTATGAAGTCTGCAAATATATGTATAGGTCGACCAGTGTTGCTTACCAGTTTAAATGGAAAGCAAGAGGTAAGAGTCATTTTCATTTCCTTAGTTTAGCAGTACAAGTTGAGCATCCCAAATCTGAAAATCCTAAAATCCAAAATGCTCCAAAATCTAGAACTTTTTGAGTGCTGACATGATGCTCAAAGGAAATGCTCATTGGAGCATTTCAGATTTTGGATTTTGAGATTTGGAATTCTCAGTTGGTTAAGTACAATGCATATATTCTGAAATCCCCAAAAATCTGAAATTCAAAACACTTCTGGTTCCAAGCATTTTGAATAAGGGATGATACTCAACCTACATTTGAGATGTTGCTGACTTTAATTTTCAACACAAGCAGGAATAAATGAAAAACTATATTTTAAAAGACATTCACTTGCATATAAACTCCCTCTTCCTTTGATGTCTGTAACTATGCTGGAAATAGTAGCCCCTAAAACATCATAACGTCGAGAGAAGACTTTCCTCAAGAGGTAGTGACACATACACTATTGACCCCATTTCTCCTACTTGGTTAGTTGTATTTCTCTACAGAAATGTTATTTTGGGGTAAGAAGGTCACCTGTTCTATATACAAATATTTGATTACTCTCTCTGATGTCAGCTATGTTCCTCCTTGCTGCCATTCTTCATACCTGAGACTCTAAGCCTAGAGCCTTTCCTCGATCATTTTTGGCAGCTTGGGTTTCTTTCCTGCTACCAGCCCCAGTCTCTGTCATGGCTTCCTCTAATGCTTTTCTGATCCAGTGGGGATCCTCTGGAAATGTTTTGAAATCTTTTGTCTGCTGATGGCATCCCTTCCATTCTTTTTATTGTTCCGGGCTTATTAAGAAAATCCTTTACTGTGTCTTATGGAAGAGAGTGGTATAAATGTGTGAGCTCAAGCCAGAAGATTTTGCTCTTCTCCCTTATCATTTAAATCTGGTAAGATCTAGGTTCTCACAAATCTCTTGTGCTGTGTCCCTCACTAATTCCTGGATGTAATTTAAGTTCCAGGATGGATTACTTTACAAGTTACCTTGCCTTCAATATTTTTGTCATTTTTTTTGGTGTTACCTATTAATGCCTTTGTCTCTTTTCCTAAATCTACCTTGTAAATCTTCCGCCATCTTCACTGTGGGATCATTCTTGATTTTCACAAAAAGAAGTAATATTTATTTAAAAATTTATTTTTTGTGAACTTGTAGTATTTAATTCTTTTTTTTTATTAATGCAATTTGTCTTGTTGCAGTTTGTGTCAGATTATAACTCCTTTGGGTTAAGGACTGTGTTTTGCAGATCCAAGTACTTGGCTGTGCTTTGTATTTTGCTTTATAAATTGATGGTATTCTATGAATATTTACTTTCTGATATTTTTATTTCTTCTGTCTGGGCAGGTCTATACAGCCTGGCCTGTGGCAGGATTTCCTGGAGGCAAAGTTGGCCTGAGTGAAGTGGCACAGAAGAACGTGGGCGTAAGGGTTGGCGATGCCATCTGGGTCCAGCCTCTGGTGGGTGCTGTACTGCAGGCTGAGGAGATGGACGTGGCACTGAGGTTTGGCTCTTTTCTTTGATGGCTCTCTGGATCAATTCAGTGCTGCCCAATAAAAATAGGAGTCACAAATATAAACCACATATGTAATTTTGCATTTTCTTATAGTAAAGAGAAACAGGTGAAATGAATTATAATAG